AAATATATATATGTATATATAAATAAAAATAAAAATGTCACATTCCCAACACCAAGTCAGTTTCTTGTTTTTGGAAAGTGGTTAATGTGGGAGCAAAAGATGCAGTGGTTAAAATGACCCAACATCCCCAGAAGAAATGATATGAAGAACAAGGACATTTTGGTATAAAGTTAGTAGTCAAATTCTCCAAGGACGTCTTTTGAGTTTGCTTTTTAAATTAACAGCCAAATATATTTTTTAAACCACCTCCTTGATCTAACACTTAAATTGCTGACATTGTCCAAATTAGTGTAATTTTTTTTCCTGTAACGTCACTTGGTTCTTGGCTACTAACCTTTCATGTTACTCTTGGATTTGTCAGTTTGCTTGCCTGTGGGGGTTTGGGCCTGCTGCCCCTGCCCACTGGAAGAGGCTGCCTGCTGTGCTGCTTTCTGCTTTAACATTGTCCAGTCGAATGTGTAGTCATATTGGTGGTTCAAGGTCCTGGAAAAGAGTGAAGTACTTTACTGTAACACATCATAACTTCCTTACTGCTAATACCAAGCCTTTGCTGAAAGTCCAGAACTAGAGGTTAACTCTTTTGTGAGCTGCTTTGGAGACTGTAAATGGTATATAAACATTAAGTATTACTAACTTATAGGGATTCTTGAATTCAAAGTTCTTGAAGCAAGCCCAAATACCATCAAGCAGCATTTTCTTCACTGTTTACACAAAAGTCTGCATTTGTAGAAGCAGCACTTCCTCACAACTCAGCATACCCATTTGTCTGCACTGAGGTTCTCAGCTTTTTTTTTTATTAAATGTATATAGTTTAAGGAGAGACCGCAGTATTGTACATCATGAAATAAAAATTGCTTTGGATTCCAGAAACATGGAGGCAGACTCCCGAGAGATCCGTACCAGCTCTTTTGACAGACGCTGTTCAGTCCACAAGGTTGAGTTTATGCTCTGGCTTCTCTAAAAAGCTCAATGAAACAAGCACTATTCCCCTTCATTGAAATCCATCTCCTGGGCACCACTGCTAGTCCCATCACCAATCTTCAAACATAAAAAGCTTCAAACACTTTTACCAAGGGGTCAATTTCTTAAGCTACTCGCAACAGAACTTGAAGCATGGGTTTAACCCTCTAGCAGTAGCAGCCAGATCATGCAACACAAAACCCAAGAGAATATTTTCCTTCATGTTTAACACTGAACAATATTTTTCAGGTCCTTTAAACAGCTTTCCAAACTCTGAAATGAAAGAAAGCCCCAGAAAAACTCCCTACACCACACACATGTGGAGTAGCTTTCTGCATTGTAAGTCCCACAGAGCAGTTACCAACTGGTAAAGCACTACCAAATTTCTGTACTTTTCCCACTTTGAGACTGACCTGAAAAGAATACGGAATAATTGCCTCAGATACATGTAATCTGGTGCCTCTTCAAAGCGCAGGCCACGACAGTAGTTCAGATACATGGCAAATTCTGCAGGGAATCCCTGTAAATCAACAGTGTTAATCAAGCCATGGCTTGCAGCAAAAAGCTTCGAACAACCCTATAAAGCGGGAGACAGCTGTATTTCTGTCTATAATGGCAGAGAAAAACTGGCTGAAGATTCATAAGTGTGAATTCCACTTTGCCTCTAGTTATTATTTTATTCTCTATTTCACAAAGTGGATTTGATCAGCAGGTTACCAGGCACACATTCCTACCTCAGAATTATTACCTGATGCATGTTTTGCAATCACAAGTCCTCTGCTACCAAAACCTTCAGCATACAACATATTTAAGGCACTTCATTCATCCTAATTAAGCCTAGTTCTTATTCACTTGATCTCTGAAATAAGTAGTAATTGTCTCAACAGATTCCACTCATGTTTCCTTGATAATCTACTTGAGCATACTACAGGCAAGGTCAGTTACCACTATTAAGTGTGAAGACCTAAACCATGAAAACCTCTTTCAATGATTCCCTGCTTTACATAATATAGCATTAAATGTATAAATAAAGCCTACATGTAAATAGGTAATAGCATACAGCATAGTGCTGCACTACAAGAAAGAAAACACAGGGTATAACAGTTCAGCAGTTCGGAAGATGCTGTCAGGTTGTAAGGGTACATAAACGTGCATGACTAGAAAGCACAATCCTTCGTGCTGCTGTTTGATGTACAAAAACTACCACGTGTTCTCAAGGACCTTCCTTAACAATCATGCGGCTGTCACAGTTCAAGAGAAATCTTAAGACCCAAAGAATAGCATTGGAAAAACATCATTCTGTGACACGGCTTAAAGATCACTTGACTTCCAATTCCACTACAGCCTCTATTTGAGATAAACAATCTTGAAGAGGCAGAAACAAGTATATACGGGCAAGCTATACAGCTCTACCTTGGTTTTATTTATCCAAGAGGGCACATGTAGAACTTTCACTGTAGAAGTTGAAGAAATGAACCAGCCTCACCTAAGAGAGCTGGAGAGCTTGCAAAGCCAACAGTCACCAAGAACTGGAATGATGGTGGCATGAACAATGCCAAGAAACAGTAGTGAATGCCTGCCCTGTTACAGACATTCATAGTCTTGCTGGGTGGCCAAACACAAGGCACCCACGACTGCCAGAGAAGTATTATCCAGTAACAAATGCCATGTAAGACTATCACATTTATTGGCTCTAGTTTTAAAAAAACAAGAAAAGAACTTCCATTTCACAGTATGACATCATTTGGAAACTCTTACCTTACACAAAACCTCAACAGGAGTGGACATTTTCTTTTCACTAATCTTTTCATACTTCTGCTTCTTTGTTGCAGCCTGTGGAACATGTAGGTCACAATATAAGAGATATTGTGCAACACTGGATTAACAAGGACAGTAGCCAAAAAAAAAAAAAGACAGAAATCCTTTGGTCAACCGTAAGTATTTTATGTGAAATCTCCCAAGTCTCACACACTTACTGCAAAGAGAATGAAGGTCAATCTGGTATTAAGATTTGGACACAGTTTAATACCATTTGTCGCAGTCTAATGCTTCCATCACGTGGCACAGCTCGTGTAGTTCTAGCTGCTGCTTTTGTCCATTAAACAGACCAGACTTGCATTTACATTTGCCAAAGTTCTATTAATTCCCACTCAGTCCCCCATTCAAGGGCTGCCTGCGTGTTTCAGTAAGCAGCCATTACATTCATTTGCAGCTGAAGAGTTGTAGTGTTTCACAATCTGCTTGCCTTTTTGGAAAACTTGCAGCTGCAACACCATTTAAGTTACAAAACTCTCACACGGAAGAAGAAAAACAATTAAAACATGAAAACAAATCACTGAAGTCTATATAACAGAAGTAAGAAATATTTGCCATCCCTGTACTTGGCCACCATACAGGAAATTACTTAAAACGAGTCTGTTGCAGTTAATAATTACTCAGTCATGCCATAAACTGAACTGAAGATATCACTAAAGCTGAACTTGCTAGGCGAGAGGTTATTTCCATGCTCTCTACAGCAATTCAAAAAGCCACCAACAATGTTATTTTCTACTTCCCAAAAATGGCCTCAGCCTAGAACAGGACAATAATAATTTGCAAAGATGACATAAGCTATTGTTTAGCATAAATTTTAAGACAGTCAAACAATACACATTTTGCCTGCCGCACAAGAAGCAGAGAGAACCTTTCTTCTACATTCTATAAATATCACGCCTTAGGAAAGGCCTCTTTGTACTAACTGAAGTTAAACATTATATACAACCACCTATCCAGACCAGTAGGCAGAAGCACGATACCCAAACATGAAAAAAAAAGGCGGGGGGGGGGGGAGGGACCACACTTTGGGACCTTTT